GGGCCTGGAGCCACCCAGGGCGCCTCCTCGCCAGCCCTCCAGGCCGTGGAGGTGCGGGGCCTGAGGCGGCGCGCATGCCGCTCGGCCCCCGCCCCTGCCTTGCTCCAGATCCCGGGCTGTCCCCAAGCGCATCCAGCGGGAGGTGCCGCGCACACTCACCAACCGAGGACACGTGGTTCTCTGCCTCCATGAAAAGGGGCCCAGCAGGCTATGGGTGAGGTGTCACCAGCTCACTCCAGGGTCCGCGTTTCAAGCCCACCACCCGCTCCGAGGGAGAAAGATGAGGCCGCGAGACCATTTTGTTGTGCACAGGGCTGCTCCAGTCCGCACCGACCAACATTTAACAGCAACGAAGTTCCCGTACAGATTTACCCCGGGAGACAGTAGGGAACAGTGTACCCACTCTATAGGGCCGATAAGGCTCGGAGTCGGCTTGATGGCAGTGGCGTTTCATTTGGGTGTGGTGCAATGGGCTTGCGCCCACAGCCCCGCAGTGGGAGAAAGGTGTGGCCGTCAGTTTCTGTAACGATGGCAACTATACAAACCCTATGGGGCAGTTCCAACACGTGAGTTCAGGTCGCTTGGAGTCAAACACTGTCCCACAGCCGCAGCCCCTCCCCAGGCCCAGCTTCCTGATGGAAATGCCCTCCCTTGGTGCAGCTGCCACCCGGACCCCACCCAGAGTGGCCAACAGTTCCTAGTTCAGGAGCTGCCTGGGGTTCACTCACTACAGGATTATTTATTCCTCCTCCCCTGGTGGTGTCTTTTTGAACCTCCAGGGCTCCCCCAATTACTGCTTACAGATTGAATACACAAACCCCTCCTTAACCAAAACCACACTAAATACACTGCCATTGGGTGGATGCCGACTCATGGCAACCCTATCAACCCTATAGGACAGGGTAGAACTGCCCTTGTGAGTTTCCGAGACTCTTTACCAGATTAGAAAGCCTCATCTTTCTCCTGAGGGGTGGCTGGTGGTTTCGAACTGCCAACCTGTGGTCGGCGGCCTAACGTGTTAAAAAAACAAAGCAGTGTAAAGGTTTTGTTTGGTGAGGGCTCAGTGCACTGTTCCCCACCTCACCTCTGCCTCCCCCTCCAAGGCCCTTTCCCCATCTTGGGCTGGGGCCGAGATAAACCAGCTTATCTTGTGTCAACAAAGAAAGCTTCTTCTACACGTGTCCTTTTGCACATGGCTGCATGTGGATTCTTAAGGTAACTTGGGGAGTGGCCTGATGCGTGTAAGAACTTAAGATGGAACTCATTCACTTTACGGAGGACACGGGATCTTACTAGAACTGTGAGGGCGCTGATGGTGCAGGACCGGGCAGTGTTTCCTTCTGCTGCACACAGTAGGGCCACTGAGATTTGGAACCGACTGGAAGGCACCTAAGAGCAACAACAACAACAAGGCGGTGCCAGCTGTTAACTGCCAGGTAGGCAGTTCTAACCCACCAGCTGCTCCAAGGGAGACAGATGAGATTTACAGCCTCTTAAACCTCGGTGGTGCAGTGGTTAGGCGTTAGGCTACTAACTGCAAGGTCAGTGGTTGGAATCCACCAGCAGCTGCTCCTCAGGACAAAGACGGGGGTGCTTTCTACTCCTTTTAAAGAGTCACAGACTTGGGAACCCACGGAGGCAGAGCCACCCTGTCCATTAGGGTGGCTGTGAGCCCACATCTAGTCGATGGCAGTTAAGTTTGGTTTTGGAAACCTTACGTACGGTTCCTGGCAGTGACTCTGGTGTCTTTAGTAGCTTGTTTAGCCCATTTTCCTGATGGTAAAGTCTTCTGCGTTTTGTATCCACCGGTCCCACCGGGCTCTATGCCCTCCTGACCTGGGTAGGCGGATTCCTGTAGGTTCAATGTATTAGTGTAGCATTGCGGGGGTCAGAGCCCAGGCCTTCCTTTTCCTTGGACCCCTAAATAGGTCGATCATCTCTAGTGGGCTGTACTGAGTTAAGCCATTCCAACTCCTCTCTCTACCCTTTAAGACGGAGTACAACTGCCCCCATGGGGTTTCCAAGGCTGTCAATCTTGCTGGAAGCCACCCCGACGGAGCAATTGGTGGCTTCAAACTGCAGACTCCTGGGGGAGCGCTTAACCCCCTGCATCACTAGGGCGCCTGTGGACCAAGCGAAGCCCCATCCCCTTCACATCTGAGGAGCAAAAGTGCCCCCTCCCCTGCATCATAGAAACCGGCTGTGGCGGCTGTAAATTAGTATTTCAGTGTGGCTCTAGCTGCCTTTCTCAAATATGCACGTCCCGGCTCTCTTCAGACCGACTCTCCTGGTCAATGATGATTTTGGAACTAGAAATGTTACTTCTAAGCACCAGTTTCAAAGCCACTTCATCGTCTCTGCCCGTTTCCCCATTGGGTTTGAGGGTTATGGCTTCCTTTTCTCTGGTGTCCAAAGTGAAGCTTCCAAACCTCAGCTGTCCTAGTTCACGCCCGGCCACGGTCACACCACTTACAACGTCCCCACCAAGAAGACAAGAAAAAAAGATGAGCCATGTCTGGCTTCTGGCAGTTAACAAAAAGCTTTTTTTTTGGTCTTTCCCCTTCCCCTAAGATACTATGTATCCACTCTTTAGTTCTCCCTGCGATTTCTACAGGGCAAGGTAGAACTACCCTGGTGGGCAGGTTCCCAAAATTGTAGCTCTTTCTTAAAGAGGACAAAGCCTTGAATTTCTCCCAAGTTGCAGCTGGTGGTTTTGAACCGCTAACCTTGTGGTTAGCAGCCCAGTGCGTGTGTTGTTAGGAGACACCAGTCCCTGGTTTTAAGGACTTCGTGCTTGGTCAATAGAGGGACATCGATAAAGCGAAGGCCCTCAACCAGATGGCTGGCAATAGGGGCCACCACAGTGGGCCCAGACATAAGGACAACTGTGAGGAGGACACAGGACCCGGCTGTGTTCTGTGCTACATTGGGTCGCTACCAGCCCTTTGACGACGAAGGTGCTTTTTCCTGGCCTCCATCTGCCCCTGGTCTCTCTCTGCTGCTGGTCCTTTGCTGTGGTAGGGGTCTGGAAGTTGCCCTTTCCTGTATTTTCCTTGGAAGTTGTCTTTCCCTGTGCTTTTCCTTCATCCCGGCTGCAGCGAGACGGGCTCCGGACTGGGGTTCACGTCTGCCAACATTATGAAAGGTTTCCACTGAACACACACTGGTCTCGTTAAAAAAAACAAAACCCCAAACCTGTGTAAGTCACTCATCTGGTTCTAGAATGTACTCGAGTTTCCGGGTCTTGGAGTTTTGCTCCAAGACAGGCAGGTTGCTGTTTGTCGCTCCCATTTGGGAAAATATTTGAATGTTCCTTCTCTGGCACGTTTCTGCCTTAAGTATCTGGAGAATGCCCCTCCCCTGTGGACATTGTCAGCCTGTGATGCTGCCCTCCGTTTGAGGCTTGAAGATGCCATCCTGGAACTTTCTCCCTTGTGCCCGCCCATTTCACAGAAGGGATACACTGAGGCTGGCACATGGACCAAGGGCTTTCTGGCATCCAGGGACTTAGCCTCCTCTAATTCACTTCTAGGCCCCTCTGGGGGTACCCACTGTGCACCTTTGACCCAGGAGGAGGGGGAGAAGCAGGTGTTATATACCTCCCCCTCTTCCCCCACTTGTTAAGTTTTCTTCTCTTGGTTTGGCCTGGGCCTTCCTCGGCCCTGGAGAAGGGCCCGCTACTGGTTCTGTTTTGTGAATTCCCCAGATGAGTCTGTTCAGACTCGCTTGCCCTCCTGACCTGACCCAGGCAGGTGCCCAGTGCTGCCCCCTGTCATTACCCAGACACGGCTTCCAGGTCCCAGCAGTAGGTACCAGGCTCCCTGTGCCCATGGTCCTCCCATGGGACACAGCCTGCCTGGGGTCAGGGGTATGATGCCTCCCAGTAGTTCTATCCTTTGCAGAACAGGACCCACCAGAGGGTCCAGAGAAGGACAGGCAGATTTCTGTGTCATGGTATTGTCCCCTCCTCTGTGACTGCCCACTAAGGGATCCCCTCCACCATGCACCCCTAATTAGGTCTCAGATCCCTTCCCC